TGGTGCCCCGCGTCGTGCACGCATGCGCACTACTCTGGCACCATTTTGTGTTCCAAAATGACACCCTGCATCGCATGGCGAGGGCGGCGGCGGCAGGACCAGCCGCGGGCTGGTTCAAAGGCCGTGATGGGCCGGGTTCAGCCCGCGGGCCGTAGTTTGGGGACCCCTGATCTAGCATGTCGCTTTCCTCTCTTTCTACTTCCCTCCACCTTTCCTAACATTATTGTCTTTTCCAACGATTCATGCCTTCTCATGATGTGTCCCAAGTATGACAATCTTTTTTTAAATTTTTTTAAAATAAACTTTATTAGATAAAAGAAAACACAAACAATAACACAAAGTTAAAACAAAAACAAATAGACATACAAACAAACTTAAGCAAAAAGAAAAAAATAGAAAAAATCATACTAATAATAAAACAATACAAAAACTGACATACTATTAAACTACCACATTAATACATTACAACAATATTACATGACACATATAATTATTAAAAAAGAACCTCCTGAACTTGACGTACCTTGCAATTTAGCCCGATTTAGTACTACTTCTGATAACCGTACTTCAAATTTCCCGCGCCATGCATTATATATTTGTAAAATCTCTATGTCGATCATTTTCTCACATATCTTAACCTTATCTCATTTTTTTTAACATAATAAGACAGTGCTCCTGACATTTTATTTTCGGCTATTATACATACGATTTACTCTAAACCTATCGTATTTACTAACTCCCCAGTTTGTTTCCAGTCTTCCTCCACTTCCTTCCACTCTCTCTTGAACGCCTCCTCATTATCACCTTTAATTAAATTAGTTAATTTATCCATATCCATAATGTCTAACGTTTTCAACATCCAATCTTGAGTAGATGGTATCTCCTTCGACTTCCACTTCTTGGCATATATTAATCTAGCAGCCGTTATTAGGTTAAAGATAAGTTTACCATGTTTTCTTTCCAGATCTTGGTCTTCAATCATACCCAATAAAAACATCTGAGGGTCCCTTTTCAGCTTTATTTTTAGTATTTCTCCCATTATTTGTATTATTTTATCCCAGAATTCTCTTGCCTTAGTACAGCCCCACCAAAGATGATAAAAGGATCCACTTTTCTTCTCACATTTCCAACAATGATAATCTTGGGTTTTCCCCATTTTAGCCAATCTGTATGGTGTCAAATACCAAAGATATTGAAGCTTATAAAATTTTTCTCTGATACTACAACTAAGTGTATATTTTATCCGTTTTTGCCAGCATTTCTCCCATTGCTCTGACTTGATAGTGTGACCAAAATCCTGAGCCCATTTTATCATTTGCGGTTTTATCATATCCTTCTCCAATTCAATAGCCAATAACAATTTATAAAATTTAGATATTTTGTGACTAGAGTCCGAAAAAATGATATCATCAAATTCTTTATCTAATATGCCTATTCTTTTGCTTTTTTGATCTAACAAAAAGTATTCCTTAATCTGCCTATAGGAAAACCAGTTACAAGAATAACCCTCCTGAGGGTTGAACACTCTTGCTGGAATCCAAGGGGTCTTTTTAGTGGAAAAAGTGGAAAATGGGATGTGAATATAACTTGCAGTTGCTCCTTCTCTGGTGGCTAGGATTGTTGTTGTTGTTGTTGTTGTGTGCCTTCAATTGTTTCTGACTTACTGCAATGATAAGGTGAACTTATCCTAGGCTTTTCTTAATAGGATTTGTTCAAAGGGAGTTTGCCATTGCCTTCCCCTGAGGCTGAGAGAGTGTGACTTGCCCTAGGGTCACCCAGTGGGTTTCATAGCCGCGCTGGGAATCGATCCCTGGTCTCCAGAGCTGTAGGCTAACACTCAAAGCACTATGCCTCATACGCTGTCCTATATATCCTCTAATTGTCCCAGTTTGGCGGGGACAATCCTGATGACTCCTCTATCGTTGCACTTTTTCAGCTGCTTTTAAAATGTCCCAGTTCCTTTCTCCTCCTACTTTCGCCTTTTTCTCCTCTGCTTACTTCTAATTCAGCATTGGGGAGAGCAGAGGAGTGGGAGTCTTGTCTGTAGAGTCAGGCAAAAGCAAACTGCTTCAGTCTTTCCTCAGTTATATTATTATGTCTATAGGGTTTTCCTGGAAAGCTTCATCAGAGGGGGGTTTACCATTGCCATCCTCTGAGGCTGGGAGAGTGTGACTTGCCCAAGGTCACCCAGTGAGCTTAAATGGCTGAGCAGGGATTTGAATGCTGGTCTCCAGAGTCATAGTCCAGTGTTTAAACCACTACACCACACTGGCTGGCTATCTTGGGAGACAGCAGTTGCAAATCAAATGGACTTAAGTTCCTCTGCCTAACATCAGAAACTAGGATGTGTTTTCCATACATACACCTATTCCAAACTGGAGTCAATTTTAGATAATTTGTTTTTCAAATATAAGGTGGTTGACATTAAAACAAATAATGACACAGGTGTAATAAAATAAGCGAATTCTTGCTTGCGTCGGCATGGGTTATCTCTGGATAACAGTCATGCAATAAACACCTGTGGGGGAAAAAACCCACACTTGGAAATCCTGTTGAAAGGTTCATGCTAGTAAGTGTGCCAGCTTTTCAGCTGCTCAGCTGTAGCTTGTCTTCGATCAGTAGCACAGTTGTGCAGGGAAAATGGCTGATAAAGTTGATCTCCCTGCTGTGATGAGTATTGGCCACTGATTTCTGGACATCGCACAGCAGTTGAGTCCACAAGAAGCAAGCATGGGCAGTTGATTTTAATGGTCAGTTGGCAACCCTATGCACAAATACAACCTGGCAGTGGTTGTAGATTGCCAGGAGAGTGGACCGCATGTTTCAAATGGTAACTAACTTGTGTTAAGTGCTTCTGAAGCTGCATCCACACAACAGAAATAATCTGGTTTGACCCAACTCTACCTGCCATGGCTCAGGGTTATGAAATTCTGAGAACTGTAGTTTGGGATGGCACCAGAGCTCTCTGACAGAGAAAGCTAAATGTCTGACAAAACTACAATCCCCAGAATTCCATAGCATTGAGCCGTGGCAGTTAAAGTGGGATAAAACCAGATTATTTCTACAGTGCGGCTGCAGCCTAAGTCTGTGATCTTCAGTTCTAATTTCTCTAGGTAAGAGAAATTACCTAGAATCTAAACTACCTCACAGGGTTGTTGAAAGGAGAAAATGGGGCCAAGGAGAGGAGACAAATCTCTACGGCACCCAGAACTTATTTGAAGAAGAGTGCAATAGAAATGCATCTTAACAGTTTACCCATTTTACAGATTGTGGGCATTTTAATCCCAAAAGGTAATTTTCCTAATCTCTTAAATTTATGTTATAATTACAGTCAAGCAGGAACTATCAAAAAAGCAGGTATGCATGTGTCAATAAATAATACAGTGATCCTTCCTTCCATCTCCTGCTTCTGTGAGTAGCTGTTTTGGACTCAGACATAGATTAATTTATCATCATCATCATCATCATCATCATCATATTTTATTTATACCTCGCCCCTCTGATCACAATCAGGGTGGCTAACAACAGTTAAAAATACATAAAATACAAATCCAAAAGAACCAATACCCACTCACCCCCTTTAAAAGAGTATTAAACTAAGCACTAATTAAAACTTCTTAAATTAAAACATAAAATTAAATAAAACCAATAACCAAACAAAGAAATAACAAACAGCGGAGATAACAAAATCAAAAACAGCAGAGTAGCAGAATGGCAGCAGCAATCAAATCAGGAGAGGGCAGAAAAAGGGGGTTCCTGAGGCCGGGAAGTCTATTCTGGAAAGGCCTGCCGGAAGAGATCCGTCTTAACAGCCTTCTTGAAGCTGTTTAGCGTTGTAATCTGATGGATCTCGTCTGGCAAGCCGTTCCACAATCTGGGGGCGATTACCAAGAATGCCCTCTGGGAGGTTG